GCGGCGTTTCTCATTGGCTGAGCTGTGGTGTTTCTCATTGGCTGGGCTGTTGCCGGGTGGGGAGAGAAATCTTCCTTCAGTAGTGAAGTAGTTGTACTTGTCAGAGATGCAAGTATGAGTCTCTTCCCGTTTGGTGTAACTGATGGTGTGTGATAGGGTGCGAGAGCTCCCCCTAGAGGCCGCCACCTCTCCACTTTGGTTGAGGTTTCTTATTAATTTCCACACCGCCAAGAACTCTTAGAGGAGCCAAGCTCAACAGTGTCGTCAAATATCACTGCCCCCTGGAGACCAGGGTTAGGCTGATGGTGGAAGGGCCAGAGGCATGATGACAGAGCCCTTGGGAGGGCAGGACAGGCAGAAGCCACACCCATACCTCTGAACCTGGAGATGGTAGGGGGCTGGGAGGCCAGCAGGTAGGGGAGGCAGCAAACGCTTACCCAGGACCCACACTGCGGGTTTTTGGTCTCTAATCCTTTATCACTGTTTCTCTGCCAACTCCTTCCTTGCTGGGAGCATGGATTCTTCTGCAAGTGGGGCAAGGGTGTGTTTATCAGCTTGTTGCAAATTACATGGTAAACACCATCCCCCTGGCTGAGGCGGTTACTGAGTCTCTTTGTTAGATTAATAAGATTACAACAATCTGGGCAGACTTTCAAGTGTTTATTTTCAAAACCTTACTTCAGAGGGTGGTGGTAACACAGTACCAGGCCTGACTGGATCCCGGGTGTTTGGCTAGAGGGCGTTTCTGTTCTGAGTGCTTATTTCTCCACATATGGAGGAAAAATGGTCATTAATCCTCAACCTCTGACAATTTATAGTCCGTATCCTACAGTCCGTTTTGTGATCAAAAACTTGAGGTTTAACACCTACATTTTGTCAGCCTTGTGGCCCAGCTCTCAAAGGGGTCTGAAAAGGGGTTACAGAGAATCCTTTCCCGCAGCTTTTAAGCTTTCTGGTAGACGGCCTGTCCTTCAGTTTGTAACTATGGGCATTTCGGCAAAATTTACTCCAAGTGAAATGCTGTAACGCAACCCCGTTTTCCTGTTGACTGGTGTTATTACATTATGGATGTTACAGCTCCTCGGCAAGCACTCACCAGGCTTTGGGGCACATGGGGGCGCAGGCTGGGGCGGCTCTCCCTGCTGCACTTTAGGACTTTAATCACGCTCTGCCCTGGGACTCTGCGTAGCTCTGGGCCCTGCCGGCCGCGAGGACTGGGGGGATCGAGATGGCAGAAACCGTCTCTGCCTGCGAGGTGCTCTCAGCCCACTGGGGCCATGGAAGCCTTGCACCTCCCAAGCACACAGGCTCTCAGAGCCTTCACCGTGTCCAGTCTGCCTTCCCCACCTCTCCTCCCGCCGCAGTCTCCCCAGGTCCACCTGCCCACCCCTCTTTCCTTCCCTCTAACGCACAGCCCCAGACCGTGGCTGTGGACACTGCACTTCCCAGACACTCTGAGCAGTCTCACGACTCGGCACAGGTTGACCCAGTTCCCTCGCCCTGCCACGCCCTTCCCCGCCTCCTCACACCCTTCCAGACAGGGCTGCTCTTCTGGAGCTCAACCCTAAGCTCTGGGCTCTCCCATATTCCACGCACCCAACTTGGTCCCGGGATTCCCCACCTGGCTTTAGACTTGGCTGCCTCTCTGTCTGACTCTCCCATGAGGCGCTGCACTCTTTGAGGCATTTCAAACTCATCTTTATGACCTCCATGCTGAGCCTGGGATGTACCACATACTGGGAATTTAGTAAATGTTAAGTGAGTACATGGGTGAATGAATGAAAAAAATGAGTACATACCTTAACAGAGATACAAATAATAATTAGCTTTATGTAAAGGCTTGTCAATTTACAGAAGTTTCATACACATCAGTTTACATGATCCTCATGGCGAGTTAGAATAGTTACCAATGCCTGAATTTCAGAGAGGTTAAACTATTGTAACAATAACGATAGCTCTAATGCCTGAGGACTGACTGTGTGTCAGGCACTTAATAAACATGCTCTGTTAATCCTAGAACAACTGTGCAAGGTAGGCAGCCATCTTTTACAGTTGGGGAAACTGAGTCTCAGAAACATGTCTAAAGCCAGAGCCAAGAGTGGGACCACATCTTGGGACTCCCAAGCCTTTGTTTAGTCCCTGACACGATGTTGGCGGACAGGAGGCTGGAGCCAGGTCCAGACAGCCAAAGGAGGCCTGAGCTAAGTCTGGAAGGAGTGAAGCGAAGATCAGAGGGGATGGACAGCCTGGTCAGGGGGACTGACATGGGCAAGGGAGGGTAGGTGTGAGCAGGCAGGCCAGGCTTGGGGCCTGGGACCTGAGGGACAGTGTGAGGGGTGGGCAATGGGGCAGGAAACAATCAACGCTAGTGGCCAGGAGGGACCGAGGCATAACAGGCCTCGAGTGCCCCGGGGTGTCCATGCGGATGGGGGATGAACACCGCAGGGGCCTTTGGAGTATTCTTCTGCGTTAGTGGGGAAGAAGCTGGAGGTGGCAAGACCAGCCAAGGCGATGGTGACAATTTGGACTAGCCGCAAGGCAGCCTAACAGGGTAGTGGAGTAGAAAAAAAAAGGGGAAATAGATACATGGGAAGTGGAGAACATTTCCCATACCTCTCCCCTGCTCTGTTCTTAGGCCAAAGAAATTTCTCCAAAGAAAAACTTCCCCATCCTTTGCTGGTTCAGGCCTCTGTGCCTTTGCACTTACTGTTCCTTCTCCCTCAAGTGCTCTTTTCCCCACACAGCCCCACCCACCTGGAGAACACCTATTCATCCTTTAAAACCTTGCTCAGATGTGACTTCTCCACAAAGTCTTTCCTCACTACCAGTGTGATAGAGTTGACCATCCCACCTCCGTGCCTTGTCTCTGCTTCTGCTAGGGTGCCAATGCCACTGAGGTTAGTTTACTGATCTGCATCTCCTGGTAGACGGTGAACGCCTCAATGGTTGGGACTGTTTCCATCTTTGTGTTCCTGCACCTAGGCCAATGCCTGATACAGACTAAGCACGATGTTTGAATGAATGAATGAACGCATGCACACATGAGTAAACGAATGCATAAAGACATTATTCTCCTCCCTCTTTTCCAGCCATTCCTGATGTCCAATAGAAGTGAGCTACACTCGTTATTCTCTCTCAGATGAGGTTTGAAAAATGTTTTGTTTTCAAAATGCCTTTGTTTTGAAAAATGCCTTCAATTTAAGCTTTGTTTTTGTAAAATTAGTGAGTATCTCATTTGGCAAGTTTGAAACACCCAAAACAAGCAAAAAATGCTGGTGGAAGGGAAAGGAAAAAAGAGGAGAGAGGGGAAGGCTGGTGGGGCCATGGGCCTTCAGTTGCTGTTTTCCCTGAGCTCGATCAGGAAAAACAAAACACCCAGGCCTGGGGCCGCTCTCACAAGCGGCCTCAGACGAGTGTTTACTTCACCTCCTTCCATTAGCTCTTAAGAGGAGCCAATAGAAAAGACCTTGAAAATGGTAAGGAACACCATGAAAGAGACATATTATTCTGCCTGGATGGTAAAATATGGCCTTGTGAACTACGTGCTAGCTTCCCATGCTCACTCAAAGATGATTTTAATATTAAACGTATTCCTTTCATTGACTAAGACATACACTAACTAGGGAGAAAATGTTTTCCAAAATTTAAACTTAAATCTGTTAATAAGCACAAATCTTCATAAAAAAGTCAGAAGTACATGGAGACTAGCAGCCTAACCTTAGACGGGAAGCCATCTGTGACTTTAGAACAAGGGTTTTTACTCACTGGAGGGGGCACACTTTTGTGAAATGCTAAACCAAATACCACGGAACATTATTATGGCTTCAAAAACTAGTTACAGGCTTCAATAAGCACACTTTTATCACAAGAACACACAATCTAAAGCCAAAATAGTTCAGTTTAATACGCCAAAAATATGCTCACCCCATACATTGTTAGAAAGAGCAGTAGGAAAAAAAATCTAAAATTTGCTGCTAATTCATTTGACGGCAGCCAACGTCTCCTATCTTTCTTGGCAAGAGGGCCATTTTTCTATGCTGTATTTTGCACACAGAAATCTGCATAGAGTGATTTGCATACCAAAAACACGTTTGTAAAAGAAACTACTTGCACAGAAGCCAGGGAGAGATGGGGTTGCCACTGTTGGCTTCTATACACACAACGCCCCCAGGCTACTTGCTTTCCTTTTTCAAACATACTGCATTTCCCGCAAAGGGTTATGCACTTTATGATGCATTAAAAATTAAAGCAAATATATCTTTTATATATCCAAGAGCAACCATAACAACGATAACAACACAGGCTAAATATTTCCATGCTAACAGTCTTCAACTTTTTGCTAAGGGGCTGGGAATAATAAGTGCTATAATATATTGAGCTTTTATTTTATACCATGTCTTTTACATAAATTATTGCTAATTCTCGCCATCAGTCTTCAAGGCCAGTGCTGTGGCTCCCCGTTTTACATGAGGAAACTAGGCTTGGGGAGGTGAGGTGGCTCCCCAAAGCCGCGCAGGCCAGCAGCAGCAGCGAAGCCAGGTTTGGAAGTCTGGTCTGACTGCTCTGCCCCTTCCTGCCACCCTGTTCCCCACTGCCTCTCTCTTTCCCCGGTTTTGCCAAATACCTTTGTTTCATTTCCAAGGCTGGGTCTACCAGGCTGAGGGGTGGGGGAGTCATGCTGGCAGAGGTAATCACTTGGGTTTCCTGGCCTTTTTCTCTGACGAGCCTGGAAGCAGGGCAGCTAGTCTCAAGGCTCAGGGAAGGAGCCCAGGAAAGCAGTGCAGTGACAGACAGGGTGGATGGGCAGTGGCCTGGGGTGCGGAGGGCACCGGGGGCGGGGAGACAGATGGGTGGCTGCACAAAGAAGGTACGCGGTAGTTGAGATGCAATGGAACCCTCCCACTCGGTGCCCATGCGCTGTCACCAGTTCAGTGCCAGCCCAGCTGTATTCTTGGAAACACAGAACGGTTTTGTGTGTACTTAATTATAATGCTACTTACAGACAATTTGTCAGCAGCAAATCAGAGGCTTGATGCACTTCTTAAGAAAAAAAAATTGGTAGTGGTTCTTTGAAATGTGTCCATCTGATGAATCCTTTGGATTCTTCCAGTATACAGCATTTGAGAGAAATCGGCCATTTCTGGAATGTCAATCGGGGGGAAAGTACAAAATGAAAAGACTGAGGATGTCTGCAAAAAAAAAGATTATCAACATTTGCTTTCCTTAAGATGTTTCTTTGTGTATTTTTTCTCACCTAGTTTCTCTTTTCCAGGGCACGATAGCAAAATTTACACCTAATCCTCTCTCGTTACCCGTGGATCGCCAGTGCCCGGAGATTCCTGGCTTTGAGACTTCGTTATGTATTAGTCACTGTTAGAAAGCAGTTTTTCTGACACTTTCAGTAATAAATCCCTTTGATATGATCTATGGTAGCTCTGCCTCATAGCAAGTTCCAGGCTAAAGCAAGTAATGGAATAGCAAACTGCTCTGGAGGCAGGCAGACCTGGTTTGAATCCTGGTTCTGTCACTATGGTTTTACCTTACTTAATCTTTCTGACACTCAGTTTCTTCATCTGTAAAACGGGGAAAAGCATATGAGGGCAGAACCTGGTTGCCCATCCAACAGCCATTTCCCTCTTCATCCTTGCTAACAACAGTGACGACAACGAAAAATCCTGATTTTGTTCCAGTCCCGAAGTGCGAAATCCCAGCAGATGCGCTGCGTTGATCTAAACCCTGCATTCCTGTTGTCAGTGACTGGTTTACAGGGTCTACAGGAAAGCGTGTGACCTAATTCTGGCCAAGGATGCTGAAGAGGAAACCTGCCAGAAGCTTCCGAGAAAGATTTTCCTCTCTGATAAGAGAGACCCTTGAAGAGAAGGCCCATCTGCCTTCATCCACTGGCTCCCTGACCCACGCTGTTTGGTGCTGTGGCAGCCGTCTCTTGAACACGAGGGGAACGATCACTGACACACTAAAGATGGCAGAGCAGAAGGACCGAAAGAGCCTAGGGCCTTGGGGACAACACTGATCTATTGAGCCGACCTTGGTCCACCTATCTCCAGATTTCTTGTTAACAACGTCTTTATGGTTTAACCTATTGCGTATTGAGTTTTGTGTTGCTTGCAGTCAAAAACAATCCTAACTGACACAAATACCAACCCCACAAGATGGTTGTAAATAAATGATACATTGTATGTAAAGTACTTAACACAATACCTGGCACAGTAAGTGGTTGCTATATATATATATTAACAACATTTATGAGACATGGGTAATGATCTAAAAGAGCAAAAGTTTCAAAACACAACACAGATAAATAAGATGAACGGTACCGATTTAGCATGACAAAAAAGCTTTATATTCTCGGTAAGGGTGAGAGGAGACACTGAGGTACAAGACTATGATTACAGCCTCAAATCCTCATATCTGGGAGTAAGATGTAACTATAGGCAGAATGTGAACGCTATTGGAGATGAAAGGACTGTGGTTCTTGGCCAGGTTTCCATCCAGCCTCTTACAACAGACAATCACCCTGTCAGCAGCTCCGATTCATGTCTGAAGACCAACAATTACATGTGAATTACCAGCCTTGCAAAGGGGCAGAATTCTTTCAACTCACAGAATCTCTTTCCAGAATACCAAATTTTACTAGTTGTTTTTTTTTAAGATTGGCACCTGGGCTAACAACTGTTGCCAATCTTTTTTTTTTTTTTCTGCTTTATCTCTCCAAAGCCCCCCTGTACACAGTTGTATGTCTTAGTTGCAGGTCCTTCTAGTTGTGGGATGTGGGACGCCGCCTCAACGTGGCCTGACGAGTGGTGCCATGTCCACGCCCAGGATCCGAACCCTGGGCCGCCACAGCCAAGCGTGCGAACTTAACCACTGGGCCACGGAGCCGGCCCCATACTAGTATTTTCTTAAAAATATGTTATTTCTTTATAGCAGGAAAGATAGATATACTGACATATATTTAAAATATAATACTCATTGAGGAATATGTTGTCCTAGATATCACCTACCATCTCGGAGCACTGTAGCAACTCAGAGGACTATGTATACTTTACACATGAGACACCAGTTTTTGAAACAACCTACTAGAACACAAAGAAAGAATACAGTAAAATAACATGGGAAAATACCTAGCTAATAGAGGTCATGTCATGTAATCAATACTCAAAGTAAACCAGATTTTTTTCTTCACTCTGTTTTAGCAAAGAGGCAAATGACAAGATTTCAAACCAACACTGAGGATTAGACACACACACTCATATCCACTGCTGTCTAGGGTCAGCGCACATCCACCCCGAAGCCCAGTGCTCTCTCCAGCGACAGTGCCGTGCGACGAGTGTTGATTGTCATAACTGGTGGCTCATGAGGCTTCACAAATCCCAGAATTATTAATCGTATTCAGCATACAATAAAAGAGAAGTAATCAGACATATGGACAAAAATCTGTCAAGGATTGAAAACAAAAGGTGATTTCTGGTTACCTTGCAGTTCATTAAATAAAATCACCAATTCCTGAACATTTTGGTTAACTGAGATTTTCTTGTACACTGTACACACACCTGCTTTTCTCAAAATATATCTGCTCCTTTTTCTTTCTTACAATAAAGGGCAAAACTGTTGGTGGCTCAACTTCGTACTTTGTGATTCTTCAAAATGAATGATCTCTGCATCTCTAGAGACTAAGATGTCATTCATTCCGTAGAGGCAATTTCCAGCCTTTACCACATGGTGGATTTTTTCCTACTCATTTGTATGGGATTTAACATGTCACATAATGTCACAGTCAGCAGTTTGCTTTTGCAGCTGTAGTCTTAACTGGATTGAGGAAGATAGAGGTAAGGGCCATACCTTAAAAAGAAATAGATATTTCAGGTGCATTTTAGAGTCTCATATTTTTATAACAGCTTTATTTGAGATATAATTCACATCCCATGAAATTCCCACTTTTTTCCCCCCCAAGACTGGCACCTGAGCTAACAACTGTTGCCAATCTTCCTTTTTTTCCCGCTTTTTTGTTTCCTCCCCAAATCCTCCCAGTACATAGTTCTATATATATATTTCTTTTTAGTTGTGGGTCCTTCTAGTTGTGGCATGTGGGACGCCACCTCAGCATGGCCTGATAAGCCGTGCCATGTCCACGCCCAGGATCCGAACTGGCAAAACCCTGGGCTGCCAAAGCGGAGCATGAGAACTTGACCACTCAGCCACAGGGCTGGCCCCAAAATTCCCACTTTTAAAGTGTATAATTCAGTGGTTTTAGTATATTCACAAAATTGTGCAACCATCACCACTAATTCCATAACACTTTCATTACTCCACAAGAAACCCTGTACCCATTAGCAGGCACTCCCCATTCCTCCCTCCCACCCCTCCACCCCGACCTGGCCCCTGGCAACCACTAATCTACTTTCTATGACTTTGCCTATTCTGGACATTTCCTATAAACGGAATCATACAATATGTGGCTGTGTCTGGCTTTTTCACTTAGCATAATGATTTCAAGGCTCATTCATGTTGTAGCATATATTTTATTCTTTCATTTCTTTTTTTTTAATAGCAAATAGTACTTTATTTCTTTTTATGGTGAAGCTCTACCATTTATACAACTTCTTTTTAAAGATTGGCACCTGAGCTAACAACTATTGCCACTCTTTTTTTTTCTGCTTTTTCTCCCCAGATCCCCCCAGTACACAGTTGTATATTTTAGTTGTGGGTCCTTCTAGTTGTGGCATGTGGGATGCCGCCTCAGCATGGCCCGATGAACAGTGCCATGTCTGTGCCCAGGATGCGAACTGGCAAAACCCTGGGCCGCCGCAGCAGAGCACACGAACTTAACCACTGGGCCGCAGGGCCGGCCCTGATATACAGCATTTTTATCTATTCATCAGTTGATGGACATTTGGGTTGTTTATACTTTTGGGCTATTATGGATAAAGCATCTCTTGGTGTCTTTTTTTTACTGAGGTGAAGTTCATTTAACAACCATTGTAAAGTGTACAATCGAGTGGCATTTAGGGTATTCATAATGTTGTTAAACACCACCTCTCTCTACTTTCAAAATTTTTTATCAGCCCAGGAAAAATACTCCATGTCCATTGAACAATTGCTTCCCATTCCCTGGGCCCCAACCCCTGGTAACCACTAGTGTGCTTTCTGTCTCTATGGATTTGCCTATTTTTGACATATTCTATAAAAGGAATCACACAATAGGTGACCGTTTGTGTCTGGCTTCTTCCACTTGCATGTTTTTGAGGTTCGTCCAAGTTGTAGCCTGTATCAGTATTTCGTTCCTTTTCATGGTTGAACAATATTCCATTGTATGACTACAGCACAATTTGTTTACCCATTCATCTGTTGATGGACATTTGGGTGGTTTCTACCTTTTGGCTTCTCGTGATATTTTAACATCCCCCTCGTCCTCACCCTAGCCCAGGCGACCACCCTCTCTCCCCTGGATTACAGCAACAAGACTTTAACTGACCTCTTCTCCCTCACTCCATCTCTTTCCACACAGCAACTCACAGATGTACAACTTTTCAACACTCTATACTTTTTCACAGCACTTTGCATAATTGTAAATTACTTTTCCTACTGGACTGTAGGCTCCACAAGGGCAGGGACCATGTCTGAAGCTCATCACAAAAACCCTTCTGCTAGCACAACGCGTGGCACCCTGTGGACGTTGATCGATGTTATAGGCTGGGGCATGGGCAGAATTATCAAATTGTCTCTAAAACTTTGGATACTCCATCACCGAAGGTCTCAAAATACCGTAACTAAAACGGACACACACGTTAGTTATAATTACATTGTTGGTACCCTCTCTACTCACCCACCCACCCAAGTAGTAGCACTCAGGGAAACAAAACCTTCTAAATGATACTGACATTTAAATTTCCCTTCAAGCAGTTCTTTGCTCATGATTAAAAAGATAACTGATCTTTAAGACCACATAAAACAAGCACACTATAATTGAATGGCTGCCTATCAAAATGTGATCTTCTGACTTGAGTGATTATGCTTGCCTTTGAAAGGGTCAAAAGAAATACTTTCTAAAGACAGACTTGTACAGCAAGGAAAAATACTCATGACACTAATACCTTGATTCTTTCCAGTCTTGATCAGTGTGGTTTAACATGTAAAAATGGCCTTTGTTTTTCAAGATTTTACCCACTCTTCTTTATCACTTCTCAAAGGACACATCAAGGGATGAGGGTACAGTTCCCTATCATGAAATTAACTTCACATACTTGAAAAAGCTACTTTAATCACCACCTGGGGGAAAAGATAAATAGTCTAAGCCAGCTTGTTTAGCTGCAGAAACTACAGATTAGAGGGAAAAATGAGAAAACGCAATAGAATAAAGCCTCTTGTTGAAACTGCAGTACCACCAATTTAAAAAAGAAAATTAAAAAGCAGTTTTCACAATCATCTGCCCCTTCAACCTAGGACTCGGGCACTGACGTGGTGTGGGAGATGATTTAAATATTAAATTAAATGTATTGGAGTATTTTGCAATTTTCTTACTTCTAAGCAATTTTGCCATAGGTTTTTCACAATTGAAACACAGTACAAACTTTCCATTAGTGCAAAATTAGGAAAGTTTTATTAAAGTACATACAAATAAAAATTTTAAAAAATGTTTTGAGGTACTATGAAAAGCAATTTATGAAAAGGATAGTCATTGCTTATGAGAAGGTGCTTAGCTAGAGTAATGAAGAAAATGTGGCTGGGATTCAGACCGTAGCACGTATCAGCTATGTGACTCTGAGCAGGTTACTTAACCTCTGAGTCTCAGTTTCTTCATACATAAAATCGACTTCAAGGATTAAGATTACGAGAAAATGAATACAAAATGTCTAACAGTAGCAGATGCATACTCTGGCTTTTTTAATTCTAACAGATACGTGTGATTTCAGAGTGGTAATTACAGACAAGATAAAATGATCAATAGAAGTTTAAATTCTTCCAAAGGAATAGTAACTGGGAAAAATACCTAATCACTCTGAATTCATGTTATCTTTACTTAAATTACCTTTTATTCTTTATTGTAATCTACCCTGGCCCCTATATACTTAGACACGTAAACCACCAACAACAACAAAAAAGGGATAGAAATCCAGGGACTGAGTATGAAAACTGTTGACCCAAACTAAGTAAACCCATTTTCTTGACCACGTCCATGACAGTCAGCATCATGCCAAACAGTTCTCCATAGATTATACTCCTCTAAACGTACACAGTGTATGTTACAGAAATTCTCTGGTGTTGTCAATGGAACAATCAGGAAATACCACAGACCGGAACAAGTGGTCTCTCACTATGTTGAAACTCCATACACTTTGCAGCAATTCTCTAAATTATACTACTGATAGAAAGTACTTTACTTAATAAATTGTTCCCAAAGAAACTTCCTACAAACATCTTACAAGATAACACTAGACAGAAATATATTTTTAAAATTTTGCAAAAATGAACGATTTAGTTTCTGGAAATTTGTTTTTATCATTCTCCTTTACTGAGAACTTTTCTTTTCACTAAACCTGGACACTAACCTCCTAAGGAAAATTGAAGTGTGTTAATAATCCATAAGGACCCTTCTTCCGCATCCTCCCCAATAATAAACAAAACAGAAGCACTAACATAAATTCCATCCCATCTCATTCACAAGTTCTGACTTTTTTCCTCCAAGCTCTTTATTATCCAATCAAGATGGCTCAAACATATTTACTTAAATCTACATACTTTTTAACTTCTGTTAACCACTAAACAGTTTACTATTACATAGTTAAAACATTAACATATTCTAAGTTTGTAGTCTTTAATACAAGCTGCTAAGGCAATCATGTAACCTTTTGGTAAATCATATCAAATATCATATTGAAGTTTATTTCTTATTCACATTCTACAAACATCTCTAATTCACAGAATTTCACTAATTTTATAATTCCTCCAATAAGAGATGTGACGGCTACAGAAAACTGACACAGTGCCTTATAACTTCAAACAATTTTAAGAACCTCAACGACTGGAAAGATCATTGAAACACCTACCAAACTAAACGAACGGCATTTGTTACATCAAAAGGGAGATTTTCCTTCTAAAGTCACCAAAATCATTCTTTAGGATTCAACAAAAAATTGTTGGAATTTGTAGGGTTTGTGTGTGTGTGTGTGTGTGTGTGTGTGTGTTTAAATGCCAGGGTGGTAAGATCTCCTTTGGATGTACAGCTGTTCAAAGCAGAACTGTACAAAAGAAATCTGTAGAGAACAGAGGCTTTTCTTTACATATTTATTGCCAGAGCCTGCCCTTCATCTCATTTCGGTATTCCACATTGATCCAATTGTAGCGCTTCCTGGAGAGAGCCCTGCTCTAATCAGCAACATCGGGAAGAACATCGGACAAAGCAAAATGAGAAAATGCATATCTTCTCATGCCACGTCTCTTTGAAGACAGTGAATACTTTCTAAGGCATCAGGCAATATAAGTCACAATGTAACTTTTAATAACTTTTACCTGTAATGGACACGAACAGGAAACATGGAATGAGTCCTTCATCTATTCAATAGGGGCACGATTTCTACTGAGATGAACACCGTGTAGCGGACCTTTAGGTTATTTCCTGTCCCATATAGCTATGTTGACCTTAAACCCTCATCAGTAGGCTGTTGAGTAGTGATGGCTGGCTAACCTCCACCGAATGGCGAATCAAAGGAGATACGACCCAGAGACACTAAATTACCCAACATTACTTGCTGTTAAGAATTTTTTCCTTACAACTGTTGAAAAGCTATTGAGTTAAAGCAACCACGCAGACGCCCCAAAGATAATGGTTCAAACCCCAAAGGAAACGGTGGCAATCCTCTTGGATCGCCAAAAAGAAGGAATCAATCATTTAAAGAGAACTCGGACTGCACATTGTCACCTCTCCAAAAAACGTCAACATCTGACACACTAGCGTTGCCTGAACGCAGTCCCCCACTGGACCTCAACAGCGGCCACGGGTGGCTGCAGGGGTGGACGAGTGCACGGCTACTTCTGCTCTTTCAGGGATTCGGGCGGTTGCGGGACCGGAGGGCGAGGCAGCTTGAAATAGACCTTGACCGAGTCGTAGATGAACCACTGCAGCGCAGTCAGGGTGCCGATCATGATGATCCGGGCGAACAGGCCCTTCCACACGCCCCAGAACCCCAGTCTGCGGAGAACCCCGAAGGCCGTGCTGCCTTTCTCCTTGTTCAAAACGGACACGACGGAATCGGCCGGGTGGGACACGACGGCACAGAAGACGCCGGCGATGTAGCCGGCCACGAAGGTCACGGCCAGCTGCTCGGCCTTGGAGCACTGGCTCTGGGGCTTGGGCACCACGTAGGTGTAGAGCGCCTCCACCGTGCGCTCGAAGCAGGCGAACTTCATCATGGTGTAGGGGATCTGCCGCAGCCAGAGCGGCGCCACGCCCTTGTAGAAGGCCCGCAGGCCCTCCTCGCCGTACATGCGCGGGGCGGCGGCCCGCAGCGTGCGGGCGAAGCCGGGCTGCGTCTGGATGCGCACCTTCACCGCCTCCATGGGGGCCAGCGCCACGTCGGCGAAGAACTCGGCGCTGGCCGAGGCGGCCAGGTACAGGCCGGTCCTCCAGGCGTAGGCCCTCTCGGGGCCCAGGCGCTCCGCGTAGTGGACCTTGAAGACCTCGTACAGGCCGAACTTGAAGAGGCCCTGCAGCGAGTAGCCCAGGAAGGTCGGGGCCCAGCCGCGGGCCAGGCCGCGCAGCCCGTCGTCCCGCAGCGTCACGCCGAAGCCGCTGAGGATGCCCGAGTACTTGCCGGGGTCCACCTGCATGCGGCACTTGACCAGGTCCAGGGGCACGATGGCCGTGTGCGTCAGCCCGCAGCTCAGCATGCCGCCCAGGCCGCACAGCAGCAGGTACCTCCGGGAGCCGTACTCGTAGCCCGGCTCGTCCGCGGCCGCCCAGGGCCTGCCCGGGCGCGGGCCGGAGCGTCCCGCCGTCGGGGCTCCGCAACCGCCAGCCTCGCACATGGCCGCTCCGTCCAGGCACACGCTTGCTGGGCCCGGGCGCCTTCCTCACTCAGGGGCCACAGAGCAGATGCGCACGCGCCGTGAGCCTCCCCCGCGGACCCCCGAACCCAACGGTCCCGGCGAGGGTGAGGGCCCCGGCACGCGCGAGGCTTCCACCCCGCTCACCTACCGGCTCCACGCCGCCCAGGACGGTTTCAGTGGGAGCATCGCCGCCCCCCCTCACCTCCAGGACGGCGCTCCGCCCCCTCACATCTTCGGGCCAATGGGCTTCTGGTAGCGGCAGGAACCCCACCCCTCAGCCCTCCTCAGCCAATGGTCAGTGGCCGCTGGATCTCACCTTGGCCCGTGGGAAAGGCTTTCGGTGACCAAGTGGCTTCCGTCCAGCTCAGCTGCCTAGTCTTCTACAAAGATGCTAAAAAAATAAATCAACAAGTACAAACATGAGTAAACACAGGAATAGGCGAGTAAATAGATGAGGAGGTGGGCGAGGGGGCGAAGAGTCGCCATGCACGGTCTCCTTCCGAAGAGGCCTTGCTGGAGTCCTCACTCAGCTGTGCCCACTTAGAGTAATGGTCATCTCCATGGCAACAGTGTTCTGTGGCGGGAACGGGCAGAGAGAACCAGGAACCCGGCGTTGGAGGCACAGTCTTGTGGCTTCAGGGCTTACCTAACATTCTTATGTGGCAGATGGGGATCACATCTCGCCCCAACTGACTCACACTCTTCAGATTTCCCTCCAAGAGCTGTAGCGAGGGCTTAGGAAGCGCGGAGCCACTCACTAAATTGCCGGGGGGAGGGGGGGAGGGGGGAGTGTGCTGATTGTTTTCTTTCATTAGATAATTTTCCACTGACTACTGAATCCCTGCCATGATTTTGGAGATTAGGAAAGTGAGTCAGAAAGCCCCTCTTCCCTTAGGGGGCTTGCAGTCTGGTTGGCCTGGAAAATGAGAACCAAGTGACTCCACGTGTAAATCAGTAGCATACTGATTCATTCATTCATTCATTCATTCATACATTCACCCACTATGTGCAGGGCCTTACTTCTAAACAAGGAGATTAAAAAATCAATATTGTGTGATAAGTATAACAGCAGTTTGAATAAAGTTCTGGATGAACAATGAGGGGGAACTAATTCTGCCTGGTGAGGTTAAGAAGACTTCTCAGAGGTGATGGCAATGTAGCTAGGTCTTGAAGGATGAGTAGGAGTCTGCCATGTAAAGAAGAATGGAAAGGTGACTCGAGTTGGAGATGACCCATTGAGGAGAGGCGAGTGACTCAGCATGGTGGAAACTAGCAGGGCTGAGTCTGGAAAAACAGAATTGGATCAATTTAGGGACAGCCTTAATACCTTTTTCAGGACTTTGACTTTTATCCTTCAGGGAGGCCAGTGTTTCCCAGAAGTGTGATCCACAGACACCTGCATGAGATTCACGTGAAGTGCTTTATTTAAAATCCCGGCTCACATCCGGGACCCTCTGCATGAGAATCTCTGAGGGTAAGAATATGCAGTTTTAATAAGCTTCTGTAGGTGGACTCTTTATTAAACTTCACTGAAGTTTGAAAACCACAGTATGTGGATGATGGGAGATCAAGTACTTTTTTAAGGTTCTCTGATCAAGAATTCAGTACTTATATCCCGAACTGGGGGTGTGCAATGCTGAAAGTTCATCAAGCTGTACATTTATGATTAGTGCACATTGCACACTTTATGCACGTTATACCATAATTTGTAGTTAAAAAAATTGGCTGGTATGGGGCCGGCCTGGTGGCATAGTGGTTAAGTTTGCGTGCTCTGCTTCAGTGGCCTGGGGTTCGCTGGTTCAGAGCCTGGGCGCAGACCTCCGCAAAGCTAGCTTCTCAAGCCATGCCGTGGCAGGAGGCCCACATATAAAATAGAGGAAGATGGGCACAGATGTTAGCTCAGGGCTAAACTTCTTCTTCTTCAAAAAAATTGGCTGGTATAAAATTCTAACCACAGACTAGGATGATGGCCAGAGGGAGAGCAGAGGCAGATACAGGTTTTCCCAATCAACAAGTCTTATTGAACTCCTGTCCTTACTGTAGTCTTATACCAGCGTTAAATTACTGAAACAAGGCCATTAGACCGAGGTGGCTTTTAATGCCTTAGCAACCTCTGTAAGGAACTCAAAACCTAAGCCTGTAATGCCTCAAGGTTAGGAAATGGAAACCAATCACAAACAGCCAACTAGGCTTTCCCAAATAAGGAAAATGCTTCAAGCTTGGCCAATCGAGTATCCTTGCTTTTCTTCGGCATCTCTAAAAAGTCTTTCCCTTCGCTCCCTCTGGAGCACTTCTAACTACTTGCCGTTTGGCACTGCCCGATTCAAACTGATTTTTGCACAAACTCTTAAAATTTTTAATATGCCTCAGTTTAACTTTTTTTTAAAAAAGATTGGCACCTGAGCTAACATCTGTTGCTAATCTTCTTTTTTTCTGCTTTTTCTCCCCAAATCCCCCCGGTACATAGTTGTATATTTTAGTTGTGGGTCCTTTCAGTTGTGTCATGTGGGATGCTGCCTCAGTGTGGCCTGATGGGCAGTGCCATGTCCGTGCCCAGGATCCGAACCAGTGAAACCCTGGGCAGCCAAAGCAGAGCCCTTGAACTTGACCACCCAGCCACGGGGCCGGCCCCCAGTTTAACTTTTAACACCAGAAATTTCAGTATTAAAGAGAAGAGTCTCTCTTTGAGTCATAAAGGAACAATGAAGTGTTAAATACCCCATGCTCACCAAATCAGGGCTTCCCAAAGCAAGTTCCTGGGACTACTGGTCCTCTTGAAAAAGGTCAGTGGTCAAACAAGTCTGACAAGCGTTTCATACTAGGGCGAGTGTTCTCAGCTGAGGCGATATCATCCCTCATGGGGTGAACACTGCTTCTTAGGGGGCATGGAAATAGTGCAATGGTTTGTGGCCTTCCAGAGCTCAGCTCTACCCAACGAAATCTTATCCCTTAGTATTTAAAGATTTTATTTATTTTTTCCTTTTTCTCCCCAAAGCCCCCAGGTACATAGTTGTGTATTCTTATTTGTGGGTCCTTCTAGTTGTGGCATGTGGAACGCCACCTCAGCGTGGCTCGATGAGCGGTGCCATGTCTGCGCCCAGGATTCGAACCGATGAAACCCTGGGCGGCCTGCAGCGGAGCGCGCGAACTTAACCACTCAGCCACGGGGCTGGCCCCTATCCCTTAGTATTTAATTTCAGGGTCGAGGAGGAGAGGGGGCAGGGGCTGGGGGATGGAAAAGGCAGATTAGGAAAAAAAGTCTAAAAAGCAGAGACCTCTGGGGAGAGAGGGCGAATGAGGAAGAAAAGGCTGAGCACCACCAGAGCTTCCTCTTGGAGATTCACAGGGCGCATGAACGTATCAGAGAAGTTCTACGGTAAAAAACTTTAATTTCGTTAACTTGCGGTTTCCTAATTTTATTGGATCTCAGAACCCCTTTTTTCTATGATTCCTATTCCCATTTCACAGACATAGTCTCTCATGGAGCATATTTAGGGAAAGGCTGGACTCTATCAAAAATGGAATTTAGTGAAAGTAAGGAGTAAAGAGGGCTAGAATAATAACAGCAGCTACTATTTGCTGAGGCCGCTATTTCCTGAAGGTACAACTTGGATGTGTTGCTGACAAGTAGCACAGGTCACCAACTATTTTATGAAAACAAAGTTTAAATCAATTTATCTCACTTGTATGAAATGCTTGTTCTGTACCATTAAAATATTGCTAAAGAAAATGTACAAGTTGAAGAAAACAATCTAGGAATCTTCAGGACCAAAATTTTCTTGGATAATTCTTAGTTCAATAACTATTGAAACACAGCCGTAAAGTCAGTAGCAACCGATGATGTGGATTAAGGCTGCCCCAGCTAGAGAAGCCCAAGGTGACCTGGCCTACATGCCAAACTATACGACCCAGTGGACTTTTTTTATGGTATGAATTAGGACCGCCCCAGGGAGAGAAGCCCAGGGCATCCTCACCTGCATGCCGATCTATATGGCCAGATTCATATCTAAAGTTATATGACCGCACAATAACCAGACCCCATCTGCACTGAAATCATTTAATGACTTTTTACATCATCTTTTCTTTTCTCCAGTAAAAATAAGTCACGTACCCATGCCTTATAAAATTAGCCCTAACCCTCAACTCGGGGCAGCAGCAGGAGCTCTGACTGCCCATGGGTCCTGTCCCCACGCGGCAGCAGCAGGAGCTCTGACTGCCCATGGGCCCTGTCCCCACGCGGCAGCAGCAGGAGCTCTGACTGCCCGTGGGCCCTGTCCCCATGCGGCAGCAGCAGGAGCTCTGACTGCCCGTGGGCCCTGTCCCCACGCACCAGCTCTGCCTGCCCATGGGTCCTGTCCCCATGCCAGCGGGGGCAGCAGCAGCTGCTCTGCCTGCCCATGGGCCCTGTCCCCATGCCAGCGGGGGCAGCAGAAGCAGCGGCAGCAGAAGCTCTGCCTGCCCATGGGTCCTGTCCCCATGCTATTCCACACTATTCTCTAAATAAAAGAGCACTACAGCCAGATCTTGAGAGTCTAAGAAATCTTTCTTTTGACCCTCGGCTCACCGACCCCGCATCACCGAGAGTGGCGTGTAAGAATATTTTGCCATTACAGAGCACGCAGGCACCCCTGGTAAGCTTGCCCCCTTGCTACTTATGTAATGGAGGGCAACATTTCTGTCTTGAAATCATTATTACACTTTTGCTGTGTCCTTCCTGCTAATTTGAGTTGAAAAGCAGACCTTTCCACAGGGCTGGAGGTAGACATGTGTGTTCTCTTACGCCTCAGAGAGAAGAGAGTTAAAATGTATTCGTTCATTCATTAACACATCTTCATTGAGGTCCTATTATGTGCCAGGCACATTTTGAATTAACACACCAAAGCAGAGCTAATATCCCATCTTGTCCCCAAACAGGATTTTCATACGCTCTAAAATGGAATCACGGAGTGCTCAGATAAAACGATAGCAAACCCTTCTTGAGTACCTCCTCTTTGCCAGGCAATTCAAATATCTCTAATCCTTACGACAATTGTACAGGGTACATATTCTTCCCATTTTATAGATAGGGAGTAGCAGACACTGTTGATGTCTACCCAAAAGGCAACTGCCTATTCCTCTTTGCTAACAGAACCTCTGTTTGTTTAGGTATCTGGCAGACAGTCTTTGATCTCTACATCATATTTGCCCGCTTCCTTCTCATGACATTTTAATTTGCATGTAGGATTTGATTTTCAGCCATAAATACTTAGGCACATTAATGGTTTCTCCAGTTACACAAATACATATCTAGGTAAGATGTCCTTATCCTTGCGTCCATGTCTTTGTGGATGTCCTTCCACTTTCCTCTGCCAGTTCACGTTGTCTTACAGAATCAGGGGCAAAGTACGTATGCCAGAAAACTTTCCTGTAGTAACCCACCTGTCTTCTGTTTTTCTTGTAATTAGAGTGTTTAAAGAGTTTGCCAGACATTCATTTGTATTTCCTATGGGCTCGTAAATTGCCATTTTACAGGAAATAATTGAGAGGAGATTGGAAGAACGCTGCTTTCTTTATGTATCATCTCCTGGTTCGGTGTTCCATCCAGTCTCAGCGGGGACTGGCCAACTCACTGACCAGTGAGAGTGAACGGGAGTAGTGGCTTCAATTCTTTTCTCAGCTTTAACATACACAGTGAACTTAA